ATAGACCTCTCCCAAACAGCTGCTACATGTTATACACAATCTAGTCCTGTGTAGCAGTTCCAAACTGAAAAGGTAAGAAGATTCAGGATTGCATCCATCTGCCTCACTCCGGATGACACATGTCGTGGCCTCCTACCTGCGTCACCAGCCCAGCGTTCACACAAGTCCTTGCACAGTACTGCTTTACAGAGAGAGGCAGAGACGTATGAAAATCAGACACATCACACAGACAATGACTCATTCTTGGCTTAAAAGTCATAGGCCCTGATACAAGCATTAAGTCAAATATGAAAACAAAAGAGGGGGAGGAAGTAGCCATGGTGAATTAGCATTAGCACACTTTGACCTTCACCGTGCGTAAAATTTGAAGAGATGCACCGGTCTCAATATAACTCAGCTGTAGTCACACTGTACAGCAATAGCAGCAGCAGCAGCAACGTGCTTCCAAGTCAATTCCAACTTATGGTGACTCTTTTCTGGGTTTTCTAGACAAAGAGTACCCAGCAGTGGTTTACCACTCCATTCTTCAAGGGGTGTTCTGGGGCTGTGCAGCTTGTCTCCAGGCCACACAGGATGGTTCTTTTTCCAGGAGGCACAGTGAGGAATTGAATCCTCTGACTCCTGTACATTTACGATTCTGCAAGCAGCAGTCTGATATTGAATGCTGGAGGTGTCCTGGTCTTATGTAGGCAGAGCGGGATGTCATTCATGACCGGAATTCTATTTTCTTCCCTAACTCAAAAAAATGGATGATCTAATAACAAACAGGAATACAGTATTAAAACATACGAAACTTGCCCCTCACAAGACAGTCATTTCACAGTCTCTGAAAAGGCCTAGGACTCTGTCCAAACACAGATGCAACAGCAAGTCTACCAAACTGATAGCAACTACAATCAGTTCTCCAGCTCGACAATATCTTTCTTTTCTCTTTCAGTTTTGGTAATTGCATTGTTTTATTTTCTGTCTATCTAATTTGCCCACATAAAAGCTCACTCCAAATATAAATCAAAACACCAAGTTCAAACTGACTCTATATAGCAAGAGGACATTCTACACTCATCTGAAGCTACTCCTGAGGATGTTTTCATTAGTTACACAAATAAAAACACACATTCATTCATTCATTCATTGCATTTATATGCCACCTATCTAGACATAGTCTACTATAATAATAATAATAATAATAATAATAATAATAATAAGCAGCCTAAATAATGTCTAAATCCTACAACTGAAGATGAGCTTCTTCACATTGCGAAACTGTTGTTTTAATAGGTATTTATTTACTATATTTATATACCTTCCTTCTACACAAAAAGGTACTCAAAGTTGCTAACAAGTTAAAAACACAGTACAAACAGAGTAAAATAATTAAGATGTAACAACAACAAAAAGTATAATCATCACAGGAATAAGCAAATGAAATTTAAAAGGCCAATTTAATGTGATGTCTCGACCACACCCTTCCTAAAAGAATCTTGACTGAGATCAGAACACAACTATGGGTGGGAGTCAATTTCACAGCAGGAGCGACAGAGAGAAAAAAGCCTTCTCTTGTGCTCCCATCAAGGTGCCCTCTGAATGTGACAGGTTCATAACGAGACAGCCATCCCCAAACTGTTTAGGGCTTTAAAAGTTAAAAACAATGTCTTGAAAAGGCCCTGCAAAGCAACAGGGAACCAGTGCAGGTCTTTCAGCGGAAGCGTCACACCATCTTGACTCTGTTCATTACCTAGCAAATTAGCTGCCACATGCTGCATGTACAAAAGGTTCCGGATACTCTTTACCAAGAGTGTGTCTGTTACAAAGCCGCTGATCTGATGATCACAATGGCAAAAATCTAGCAACCATTTTATTGTGACAAGAGACTGCAAAACATAAAAGGCAGGGTGGATCAAAATCCATCACCAAAATTGTCTTAGGTGCATGGCTAAGTGTAATGCAAAACAGCGTAACTTGTGGAAGGAAAGTGCCTCAAGTTAAGAAACCACAACAGAGGTTATCTTTTTTGTAGTGAATTGCATAACATGGGGTACAATGGACGTGTGTATCCTGATTTCTTATTTTGAAGCAATTTGCCTGCAAAGACTGTGTCATTTGTCAGTTTAAATTTTTAACAGTATTTTTGCCTGTGGTTTGTAAAAAGTCAGATTTTTTTAAAAAAAACCAATGGTTAACTTTTTTTTAAAGCCCCAGATGCTGATAATTTTAATTTAACATCTGTTAAAATTCTAAGATTGCCTTATGGAAAGGGATTATAAATTGTACTTGTATTTGATTAGACAACGGATTTCATATAGGTTTTTGAAAAGTTTTGCAATTATGGTCCACCATGAGTTCTTGAACTGGAGCCCAAATGTTTGCGTTGTACAGCCTTCTGCACTGATTATTTACAGTAATCTTTCAGCCTCCCATAGTACTTGGTCTAGTAGATAACATTAGAGAAACTGGGTATAAATTGGGTTTATGTCTCCACAAATACAACACAGTTGTTAATGGCAATATATAGGGATGGGAAACAACATACTTTATCAGACCTGTTTTTCCAACCCTTATAAGTTCTTATACTTTTTGTTCCAAGTCTCAACATGAAATGTTGGAAATTCTTGGAAGCCCTATTAAAATGTCCAGGACTGCTTCTAACATTTTCCTTAAAGCGATGCGGATTCCTTTAGAGTGGCAACCCTAGCCACCACCCCAATGTAAGTTTGTGTCAACAATGTCAACCTCTCTCTCTCCAAAAGTAGACACCCTGGCAAGGAACAGAGCAGATCCCTGTGATACTCCCCCCTAAAATGCACTCCATGCTTGCTATAACCTTAAAGCAGGGGTTTTCAAACTATGCACCACAGCTCTGTTGATCACCCAGGATCCGAGCCAGGGGCACCGTGAAAAAACAGACGGAACATAGACCTATGAAGGCTTTAGAGGAACTGTTCATAGCTCTGCGTCAAACAGGAACCAGAAGTGAAGGCAGTGTGCCAGCCTCTCCGTGCCCCATCTCTATGGTCCCTGGTGGAGGCGCTTGCCTGCTGTGTGGCCTTGTGAGTTTCCTTTGTCAGGATTTAGAAGGAGGTGGGCACTCAGAGATATATGGGGCAGTGGGGAGATGGCATGGCTGGGGAGGGTTGTCAAAATCCTGCCCCTGATGGCTCCTCCAAACAAGGGGAGCCGCAGCCAGTGGTGAGTAAATCAACAGAGCCACGACTCCAAAATGATTTCTCTCCCCGCCCCCCCATGCGTTACATTGCTTTTGAAACTGTGGTTAACCTTACGCCTTCATATTGAAATAAGGACTTTAAGACAGACAGATGCATCACTTGCAACCTACTATGCCCACGTTCTGAAGTTATGCCATATATTACTGAGGGGAACAGAGAGCACTGGCACATGGCACATTGGAACACAGTTTCTGTTCACATTCAAATGTGCGTACACACAAATCGATTCAGGGTAAGGATAATGTCAGTTCTTTGGCTTAGGCTCCCAGGACACTGTCCCAAAGCGAAAAGTAACTGGCTGCAGCACCGTCAGGTATCTCATTCTCCGAATAAGAACTGTGAAAGTAGCAGCATCACGGCCGCCTAGAGTGGTCCTGAGTTGGCTAGATAGGCGGGATATAAATAAAAAAAATAAATAATAAATAAATAAATAATAAATGTACCATCAAAGTCTCAGGACTGCGAAAATTTTAAGACGAAAGAAAACTCCTTAGGGAGAAAACACAAAAGACCACCATCTAGGAGGGTTTGCAAGCCACCTTTTCAATACTCACACAATTGCCCTGTTCACCCTGAAATTACTGCAGTGTGTGAATTCATATGGCTGTAGTCCATGTCCCAATAGATGCAAAATGTTTATATGCTTCTTTTTTTTAAAAGCAGATTACACTTTAGTGGTTTTATAAACACACATCTCAATTATAAGGGAGATTTTAAAAGTAAGCATTCTTTAGAACAACAACAAAAAGAGAGAGAGAGACCAAAAAAGAGCTGTTTGTTCGCAAACAGATCCAACAGCAGGCCTATAAACTTTGCTGATTGGATTTCAGCAGTACTGAAATGGAAAGCCTCCCTGTGATAATGTTTCCCCACTGGCCCAGTAGGAATTTTATACTTTGGGACAAGGTGCAAAGGAACACATATTTATCCAAACCAAAGGGGGGGGGGCATGAGAGCTGCTCAAATAGGAGGATGACAAATCCCCCGTCTTTAGGATAAAAAGGCTATGAAAGAAGTGGTATAAATATACCAGATGGGCAGGGTATAAATCAAATAAATAAATAAATAAATAAATAAATAAGTCAAGAGCAGAGCATCAATAGCAAGTTAAGTTTTGGTAGGTCTTGAGATATTTAACAGGACATTTCAAATGACACAATACACATTTTAGAGCTACATATGAGAGATACAATCAAACATTGCTGTGAATTCTTCCTAAAATGCATGCATTGTGCAAGGTTACTTCTATTTATTCACTTCAAATAGGACATTTCACTTCTCCTCCTTCCCTGCCCTGACTTTCCTGTTTCCCTTTCCAACTAACTCACAATATTTTATGCTCACAAAGCTGTTTGTTGCCTCTTACGTTCTAAGGTTTCTTTTCAGTGGGATATGCTTTTACAAACAATTGTGTTCTCTCAGTGGTACCAAGAGTGGTCTTAACCGACCAGATAAATAAATAAATATCTTGTTTCTAAGAGGCCCCATTTGGGTTGAGAACTAGTACTATAACTTGCTATTGCAGCAAGTGACATTTCGGATTAACCAAAAGATATTGCAAGAACTGCTACCAACCACACCTATAGAGTATCAAATCTGACTTCAAATCATCCAAACCAATGTCCAATTGCAAAAAATGTATTGCCAACAGAAATCAGATGCTAAAAAACTATTTACTCAATTCTTTGCTTCTGCTTCTTCTACTTTGAAATATCTCATTAAATATGACTGCAGGCCCAACACCAGGCTAAGGAAATTTAACAGTATTGTACTTACCATTGGCAGTGCATTGATGGGTGGAAGGTTTCCTGTTAGGAGCCTCCAGTCACAGGAAGATGGTCCTGGAAGAGAAAAAGAGAAAAAAACTATAAAGAAAACAGCTTAATGGTGAAAAATAAAACAGGTGTCAACACACCATGCTGCAACAGCGGTGAGACCAGATTGTGCAGGAAAAAAAATTATAAAAGGAAGGCTAAAATTTTCATCTTTGCTTTTTTTAGAGAAGAAAACTATAGTCATGTCATTATTTTATCCTACAAAACAAAAGCAACTGCTAGTTTACATAACACCTGTTATATATGTAAATTAGAACAGATCCATTTAAATATTAAAACGGGCTAAAAAGAAGTAAAATAGTCACTCTGGGCCCCAACTATACTCTACAGAATTGGGGCACAAGAATCGTGATGTGCCATACACAGAATTTCTAGAAATGGCTCAAATCCAAAGATCTGTCCACTGACTTGGGTGGATTGCAGAGATTTGATTCAGAAAAAAATGTGCAATTGTGGAGCAAACTAAGTAACACTAATTGAAATAGAAAATGAAACATGACAGTTCACCAAGAAAGCTGCATAACATAGTAAAAAGTGATATACACTAGTTTTGGTTATGACAAAAGCAAAGAAGTTCCCAGTATTTCTAACGGGGAAGAAAATGAATGTGGTATGCTTCTTCAAGCTCACAATTACTAGCCAGGCCACCATCATGCTGTAAAATGCCCAAATTTGCAACTCACTCACTCACTCACTTGATCCAGCAACGTTGCCCATATAATCCAGCTGTTTAGGAACACATATTCATACACACAAAGGAGAACTGGCCCCCATGACAGGAGGAGGCTTTGGGGTAGGAATGAACATTAAGTATCCAAAAACAAAAGGTACCAGAAACGAACAGCATTCTCACATGTTTGAAAATGACTTAAGTGTCTCAGAGCATGACATACATAATAGTCAGCTTTGCTGATGTTGTCCCTAAACCACTATATATACATTTATAAAGATAGCAAAGAGATTAAAATGGGCAGTGTTTTTAAATTTTAATTTTTTATATGCCAATAAAAGACTATTTAACATTAATACTGAATATTACTTTGTCCTGGATTTCTAGTTCATCCCCAAAGAATACGTGCCGTGGGATATTCGCACAGCCCTACCACTGAACTGGCTTTTTATCTCCAGAGATATATACTGTACTTGTTCATAGCAACAAATGGGCATGGCAAACATACAGACATGATCTGGATGTTGAGTCATGGCGACTGAACTTCTTTCTTATTAGGTTGAAACGTTTCGCTATTCATCCAAGCAGCTCCTTCAATCTGGGATGACATGGATGACTGAGAATCTTCACCAATACACAAACATGATTAGTCCTATTTGTGATTCTGACTGGAGTTATTTCAAACCAGGAGCTTTATTTATTTTCCCAGCATGATATAATGTTGTCAGCCCTATTAAAATCTGCGCAACTTGCCTTCAACAGTTTTGTTGCTGATGATGATTCCTTTTGAGTGGGAACTCTAGCTACTGGCCCTCTGCAACTTTGTGCAGACAATGTCAAGCCTTTACATCTCCCTCTAAGAGTGCAGAGACACTTTCAGACACTTGTCAATGAACATAGGACTATTGAATGCGGAATAAATCTGGACAGGGAGGAGCCCAGCGACAAATTCAGAGTGGCAGGAGCAGGCAGGAGAGACAAAAGGAGTATCTTAGTGAAGTATTCAGGTCTTTTAAGTATAGTTTCCATTATTTAAAGCACTGGTTCTTAACCTTGGGTTACTCAGGAGTTTTGGACTGCAACTCCCAGAAGCCTTCACCACCAGCTGTCCTGACTGGGATTTCTGGGAGTTGCAGTTCAAAAGCATCCGAGTAACAAAGGTTAAGAACCACTGATTTAAAGTTTACCATACCATTCCTATCCAATGCAAGGTGGAGTTGTGTAAACTGTGCACATGTATCAAGGCTATGGTGCAGTGGATAGAGTGATGGAATAGAACTCACAAGTCCTGGAGTTCAAATCCCTACTCAGTCACAGAAACTCACTGGGGTGTATGATGATAATGTAAAACTATTCCTTCAACATCTCACATACCCTGACAACCCTATTAGGCTGCCATACGTCAGAGGCAACATGACAGTGAAAACAACAATTAAGCTTATAGCAAGAGTGCATCTACTGGGGAGATCACATGACTGAATCAAGTGTTTCTGATCAACGATGAAAATTAAAATCATGAAAGAAAGATTTAATCTTTCAATCTGATTTAAATCAAATCCATTCCAGTACTTTCCTTCTCTGTATCAATGGTCCTGTGATCCAAGCCCCCTTTTTCAACTTGATCACAGAAGTTCAGTCACGGATTCATCTAAATATCTCAGGTCTATGTGATCAACAACATTAAACTTTAGGTAGGTTCATATTTGGCCCTATACCTTCAGAAACCGACCTCATGATACCGTGCAAACACATATTACAGGGAACCATATTCTAGGTCTGGATATAACCTACTCAAGCTCCACAGAATGCATTAAATCAAACTCAATTTAGTCAAACATTAAAGAAATGAAATAATAAGGTTTACCTCCTATTAAAAGGTAAATCCTTTGGACTATCTTGCAGCTGAACAATGGACAGTCAAAAGCAGCTCTCCCCAACTTGGTGCCCTCCTGATGTATTGGACTACAGTTCCCTTCATCCCCAACCAGCACAGTCAATGATTATTATGAGATATATATGGCATCAGAGTTTAAGAGGACATTTAATTGAGAAAGGCCGGTCACAGGGTTTGACCTGGTGATCTAGAACTCTGAGAGCAACCAGCTTGTTCATACGTACTTTACATCTCAAGTACTCTGCTTTGTCATTGCTCATCTATTTAAATTAACACATGATCCCAATTTATGGATCAGATTTATGATTCCAATTTATGGACGGAAAAGTAGGAAAAATATTCACAATGCTGTTGCATCTTCAGGAGAAAAAAAGGAATACACACAAAGACAGAATGTGCACGGGCAATGAAAAATCATTGTTACATACTGCATTAATATTGCTCACTGATGTTACCTTTTGAATAAGTACAAGTGTAAATTACCGTATTTGCCGGCATACAAGGCGACTGGCCGTATAAGACGATCCCCCCAACATTTCCACTCAAAATATAGTGGATGGCTCTGCTACGGCGCCAGTGGTGGCTGCCCGGAGCTCTGCCTAGGCCCGCCCTGGAAGTTCATGGCCGGCGGGGAGGAGGGTGAGGAAGAGGGGAAGAGGCTGCGCGGGCAGCAGCAGGAGGAGGAGGAGGAAGAGGGGAAGCGGGCGGGTGGCGGGGGAGCATGCGCGCAGCTGGCTCAGCAGCGCGGGGCGGCAGGCAGCCCGGCGGTGGGCTCTGGCTGCTCAGGCATGGCTGTCTCTGCTTCCATCCATCCGGACCGACTGCCTGCCTGCCTTCCTCCCCAGCCAGCGCGGCCCCGCGTCACTCACTTAATGGCGGCAGTGGCTCCTTCCTGGCCCAAATGAATTGCACCTGGCGTACAAGACGACCCCCCCCCCCCTTCGAGGCATGTTTTTGGGCCAAAAAAGTCATCTTGTACGCCGGCAAATACGGTAATATCTGAGAATCCCTAAGGCAACAGAGTTGAGGTGAATGGACAATGGACAAAGTAATTATTTATAATCTGATATATGTTAATAAGAGATGCTTCTTAACAGATATTGCAGGCATACTAGTTACCCTTATAATTCACAAATCTAGAATGAGGTCTACCTTCTCTTCCTGTACATTCTTCAGCCAATAAGTTTAAGTGTGCAGCCCAACTCAAGTACCTTCTTCTCTTCCTGTACATTCTTCAGCCAATAAGTTTAAGTGTGCAGCCCAACTCAAGGATGATTTACAGTGGTGCCTCGACTTACAACCTTAATCTGTTCCAGAAGATGGACGTAACTCGAAATGGTCGTAAGTCGAAGCACCATTTCCCATAGGAATGCACTAAAATGCAATTAATCCATTCCGGCTGAAGGGAAAAAAATCACCAAAAAAAATCACTGCAAGACTCATTGGAAAGGTGATTTACCCCTTCTTGCCGAAGGGGGGGAAAAGCAATCAAGCCTGCAAGACCCATTGGACATGCACAGAAAACAAATGGAACAAATCGGAAATACACAGAGAACAAAGGGTGCAGGTCGGATATGCAAAGAAAACTAAGGAAAAAAGGAAGAGAAGCAGGCAGGACCCATCAGAAATGGGGGGAAAAGCCAAAAAGCAACCAAACCCCCCAAACCTTCCGATGGGGGGAAGAAAAACAAAACAAAACACCAACAACCCCCCAAACCCATCACAGCACAGAAAAAATCGGAAATACACAGAGAACAAAGGGTGCAGGTCGGATATGCAAAGAAAACTAAGGAAAAAAGGAAGAGAAGCAGGCAGGACCCATCAGAAATGGGGGGAAAAGCCAAAAAGCAACCAAACCCCCCAAACCTTCCGATGGGGGGAAGAAAAACAAAACAAAACACCAACAACCCCCCAAACCCATCACAGCACAGAAACATAACCTCCCCCACCCCAGCAAGGCAGTCCGACTGAAGCCTCCTCATACAATGCACACTCTCTAACTGCTGGGGCAAAAGAGCTACAAACAAGCAGCCTCATCGCCACGTAGAGTTAGAAATCTGAATTTCCTGCCTTTTTCTCCTGCCTTTTTCTATTTGTAAGTGGAAGCTCCAGTTGCATGTAGAAGCAAAATTTTGCGGGCAGAGCTGATCATAATTCAAACTGGTCGTAAGTAGGGACATTCGTAAGTCTTATTCTGTACTTGTTAGGCCCAAGGCAGCAGCTACATCTGAACCCCTCTGAAGAAAGTGGAACCTATTGGCTGAAGTCAAGCAATAAGAAGCGACTAGAGTAGGCCTAGAGTTAACTAGAGTTAAGGAACCTCGTAATGAGGGTGAGAGAGGAGAGTGCCAAAAACGGTCTGAAGCTCAACATAAAAAAAAACTAAGATCATGGCCACTGGAAAAGACGCTGATGTTGGGAAAGTGTGAAGGCAGGAGTTGA